CTGTTAAATAAATTACAAAGTGGACAAACAAAGACTAAATAAATGTAAAAGACAGCTATAAGTGTGTTGAACCAAAGATCATGATGAAAAACAAATGAGTAAATCAAGGCCAAGCAGATTCCCAGACTGGAACCAGAAAAATCTAACATTGTGAAATAAAAGTAAGAGCCTGTGCTTTGCACTCAAATATCAATTATGTAAACAGAATGGAGATTAACAGGGGTTCATGGAGGAAGAGTTCTAGAAGTTTTCATTGATAATGCAATTATCTTTTGTTGTTGTTTTTATTTTTATTTGAGACAGGCTCTTTCCCTGTCGCCCGGGCTGGAGTGCAGTGACAAGATCTTAGTTCACTGCAAACTCTGCCTCCCAGGCTCAGATGATTCTCTCACCTCAGTCTCCCTAGTAGCTGGGACCACATGTTTTGAGACAGGTTCTATTGCCCAGATCATAGCCCACTGTAGGCTCAAACTCCTAGGTTCAAGGGTCCTCCAGCCTCAGCCTCCTGAGTAGCTGGGACTATAGGCATGCCATCATGCCTGGCTAATTTTTAATTTTTAATTTTTTTTTTAGTAGAGATGGGGGCCTCACCATGTTGTCCAGACTAGTCTAGAACTCCTGGGCTCAAGTGACTTTCCCACCTTGACCTCCCAAAGTGCTGAGATTACAGGCTTGAGCCAGCATCTGGCTGCACTTAAGAGGTTTTTACCAAGAGGGTGACGGCAATACTTCTGCTTCCACTGAGGCTTATTCACTCAAAAATCCCCTCACTTTCATCTGCTATAGATTGGGATTGAGAAGTAATCCTGTCAGTTTCAATGTCTGGATTCTTTGTTTCATTTTATTCTTGCAAGTAAACTGGCCAATTCTTTTCTGAGGTTAATAATTTTTGGAGTATCGTACCAAATACAGCCAACAGCAACCAATACAGACTATTAATGTTCTGTTGCTAACCCCCCACTTTTTTTTTTTTCGACAGTGTCTTGCTCTGTTGCTCAGGGTAGAGTTCAGTGGTGTGAACATGGGCCTCAACCTCCTGGGCTCAAGCAGTCCTCTGGTCTCAGCCTCCTGAGTAGCTGGAACTATAGGCATGCACCACCATGCTCAGCTATTTTTTTTTTTTGTTGGGGGGTAGAGATGGGGTCTCACTATGTTGCCCAGACTGGTCTCAAACCCCTGGGCTTAAGCAATCCTCCCACCTTGGCCTCACAAAGTGCTGGGATTATAGGCTTGAGGCTACTGCACCTGGCCCAACCTCTTTTATTGAGTTACAAGTATGTTAAGTTCACAATCTTCCTCCCCATTTGCTCCAGAACACAGTTTTTTTGTTTGTTTGTTTTTTTTAAATAGAGACAGGGTTTCACCATTTTGGTCAGGCTGGTCTTGAACTCCTGACCTCAGGTGATCCACCAGCCTCCCAAAGTGCTGGGATAACAGGCGTGAGCCACCGCGCCCGGCCCAAGCTTCCAATAACAATTTCTTTGTTCCTGCTGCCTGACCAAAGCTAATAGCAGAGTCTCCCTCTGTTGCCCAGGCTGGAGTGCAGTGGCATGGTCTTGGTTCACTGCAACCTCCACCTCCTGGGCTCAAGCGATTCTCCTGCTTCAGCCTCCTGAGTAGCTGGGACTACAGGCATGTACCACTATGCTTGGCTAATTTTTATTATTTTATTTAATTTTTCACTTTTTTGCCCTCACATCCTGGGAAGGACACTTTAGTGTTTTGTTTTGTTTTTTTGAGACAGAGTCTCGCTCTGTTGCCAGGCTGGAGTGCAGTGGCCCAATCTCAGCTCACTGCAACCTCCACCTACTGGATTCAAGTGATTCTCCTGCCTCAGCCTCCCGAGTAGCTGGGACTACAGGTGCGTGCCACCACTCCCAGCTGATTTTGTATTTTTTTTTAGTAGAGATGGGGTTTCACCATGTTGGCCAGGATGGTCTCAATCTCTTGACCTTGTGATCCACCTACCTCGGCCTCCCAAACTGCTGGGATTACAGGCGTGAGACACTGTGCCCGGCCATATTTCAGGTTTTGTTACGGTGCCACTCCACTTCTGGTACCAATTTCCATGTCAGTTGGGAGAAGCTAGGTTATGAAGAGCTAACAAATACCCCCACAATCTCAATGGTTTACCACCAACGAAGGTGATAAACCATTTCTCACTCCATCATGGGCCAGCTAGGGCCTCTGCTCCATGTTGTCATTCTAGGATCAAGGCTGTCAGCACCACCACCTAAGTGAATGCCATCCATTACCATGGTGGAGATGAAGAGAAGACGTGAATTATGCACTGACCCTTAGAGCTTCAAATTAGAAATGAAACATGTAACTCGGTCACAGCAAGTCACATGGCTCAGGCTAACTTCACAGGCAGCAGGAACGTGCAATTCTCTCCTACGTTTAGGTGGAGAATGAGAATATTTGTGAACAGCACCGATGACCACCATACCAGTAAGCTTAGAAAGCAACCAGACCAGATTGACTGGGAGGATGGAGGGCTCTGAGACAATGAAAAGGGGATCTGTTAGACCATCTGACATGATAGAACACAGAGAGGTCCAAATCTAATGAACAAGGATAACTTAAGGAAAACAGTAAAAGAGAAAAGAAAGTAGAAACTCTGGGATAAACAAATAGCTCTATAAGAAAGGAAAGGAAATCATGGTCTCTGAAATAACTAATATTCTCATAGCTGATAACAATGTAAATGCTGCTGGGTGTGGTGGTTTATGCCTGTAATCCTAGCACTCTGGGAAACCAAGGCGGGCAGATCCTTGAGGCCAGGAGTTCGAGACCAGCCTGGCCAACATGGTGAAACCCCATCTCTAATGAAAATACAAAAATTAGCCGGACAGCATGGCTCAGGCTTGTAATCCCAGCTACTTAGGAGGCTGAGGTAGGAGAATCCCTTGAACTCGGGAGGTGAAGGTTGCAGTGAGCCGAGATTGTGCCATTGCACTCCAACTCTGGGAGACAGACTGAGACTCCATCTCAAAAAAAAAAAAAAAAGTAAATGCTGTATATTAGGATCAAATTAATATTAATTAAATAATTAGTCAAATGTTTGAAGACGTAATTATGGTTATAGAACATAATTTAATATTAACAACTTTGAAAGTTCAAAGAAAGTAAGAGAGGTAGAAAGGGGAAGAGGAAAGTTAAAGGGGAAAGAAAGGGGCCTAATGTCCTCATTTTAAAAAATGGGAAGTCCCACCCTACTATGTAAGATTATGGAACAATGGAAAAAGTTGATTTGCAGAGGAGTGCAGGGAGAGAAGAGTTATGGTGCTGGTGTGTGTTAACTTATTATCTGTATGATGATCATCTATAGACAATGTTTAAAATTGATAAGCAAGGAGTTGCTGCATAACCACATTATTTTGAAAAATGGAAATGGCAACTAGAAGAAATAGCTAAAGAGCTAAAAAGTGGTTGCCTCTTACAAGCAGGACTAGCGTTCAGGGGAGAGAGGTACAGATGTACTGCTTTTCCTTATGAATCTTAGCTCACTACAACCTCTGCTTCCTGGGTTCAAGTGATTCTCCTGCCAATAATATTTAATTTGAAAATCATGTGCTTATATTTCTTATGTTAAAAAGCCTTTCAAAATAAAATACAAAAATTAGCCAGGAGTGGTGGCACACACCTGTAATCCCAGCTACTCCGGAGGCTGAAGCAGGAGAATTGCTTGAACCCAGGAGGTGGAGATTGTAGTGAGCCAAGATTGTGCCACTGCACTCCAGCCTGGGTGACAGAGTGAGACTGCGTTTCAAAAAAACAAAAAACAAACAAACTTTTTTTTTTTTTTTTTTTAAGACAGGGTCTTGCTGTCACCCAGGCTGGAGTGCAGTGGCATGATCATGGCTCACTGCAGCCTCCCTGGGTTCAGGTGATCCTCCTACCTCAGCTTCTCAAGTAGCTGGGACTACAGGAGGGTGCCACCAAGCCTGGCTAATTTTTTGATTTTTTTTCGTTTGTTTTTTGTAGAGATGGGGTTTTGCCATGTTGCTTAGGCTGGTTTCAAATTCATGGGCTTAAGTGTAGTGAGCTGGTTAGTGGCAGAGCTGGATTCAAAGACAAGTCTTTTGACTTTCAGTCTAGGGTTCACCTCGCTTGCTCCACAAGCTACTCAGTAAACATTTATTGAGCACACACTTTGGTCTGGATATAGTGCCAGGTGGTAGGGCCAAGGTGAATAAATCCTTTTGTACTGTTCATAGATTGCACACGGCATACACTTCGACAAATCCTTATAATGCAGGGCAGTTACATAATCAAGTGATTTATGTAAAATTTGAAAAAGTAAGCTATTTTACCTAAAACCAATTGGGACTACTGTCTCTTTTCACTGATGACTTCTCCTTTATAATACATTCACTTACACTGGATGGTGTTGAAGTGGCCACGGGCTGTTGTGATGTGGCTAAACGAAAGTTGTGCAAGAATACATTTAGTGTGGATTTAGTGAAGTAGACTTCTGTTTTCTGTCTATAGTCAGTTCTGTCTATAGTTAGGTTATTGCAAGCTGTTCTAGTATAGGAGTGGAATAGTAATAAATGCTCAATTAATTCAAAAGAAGGCAGGGAAAGGAAAAAAGGAACAAAGAGCAAATGAGACAAATTAAAAAACACAGCAAGATGGTAGATATAACGTAACCATATCAATAATCACATTACATATGAATAGCGTAAACACTTCAGTTAAGAGACAGAGATTGTCAGATAGGATAAAAATGCAAGATCCAAATACATCCTATTTATAAGATACATACTCTAAATATAAAAACACAAGTATGTTAAAGGTAAAAGGGTAGAAAAAGATATATTATTCTAACAATAACAAAAAGAAAGATTTAGGATCAAGGATACCATCACGGGGCTGGGCACAGTGGCACATGCCTAGCACTTTGGGAGGTTGAGGCAGGAGCATTTCTTGAGCTCAGGAGTTTAAGACCAGCCTAGGCAACATAGTGAGACCTTATCTTTACAAAAAATAAATTAAAAACTTATCCAGGCATGGTGGTGTGTACCTGTGGTCCCAGCTACTCAGGAGGCTGAGGTGGGAGGATCACTTGAGTCCAGGAGGTTGAGGCTGCCGTGAGCCATGACTGAGCCACTGTACTCCAGCCTGGGCCTCAGAGTGAGACCCTGTCTCAAAAAAAAAGATACTATCATTACATAATGAGCAAGGGGCCAATCAGCCATAACAATTTAAATAGTTATTAACTTAGTAACAAAGTATCAAAATACATGAAGTAAAATAGAAATGCAAAGAGAAATGGACAATCATAGTGAGATTTCAACACTCCCTCTTGATATTTGGTAGAACACCTAGACCAAAAACTCAGTAAGAATGTAGATTTGAACCACACTCTCAACCAAGTTGACCTGGTATTTACAGAACATGCCACCTAACAACAGCATTCTTTTTTGTTGTTGTTGTTGAGACTGAGTCTTGCTCTATCTCCCAGGCTGGAGTGTACTGGCGAAATCTCAGCTTACTGCAACCTCCGCCTCCCAGGTTTAAGCAATTCTCCTGCCTCAGCCTCCTCAGTAGCTGGGACTACAGGCATGTGCCACCATACCTGGCTAATTTTTTGTATTTTTAGTAGAAACGGGGTTTCACTGTGTTAGCCAGGATGGTCTCGATCTCCGACCTTGTGATCTGCCTGCCTTGGCCTCCCAAAGTGCTGGGATTACAGGCCTGAGACACCATGCCTAGCCAACAACAGCATTCTTAAAAGTATACATTCTTTCCAAGTATACATGAAATATTACCCAAACAGATAATATTTTGTGCAATAAAACAAGTATCAATAAATTGAAAAGGATTCTAGCCATTTGGAATTAAATTAGAAATCAATAACAGAGAGGTATCTGGAAAATTCCTGTATCTTTGAAGACAAAACAATGCACTTCTATATATTTAAAAAAATCGACACATAAAAATCATACATATTTATGGTATACTATGTGATATTTTAAAATACATATACAATGTGGAATGACAAAATCAAGCTAATAAACATACATATTATCTCACATATTTATGTATTTGTAGTGAGAACATGTGTCATTGGTATTTTGAAAGGGGTTGCATTGAATCTGTAGATCACTTTGAGTAGTATGGATACTTTAATTATATTAATTATTCTAGTTCATGAACATGGGATATCTTTCAATTTATTGTGTCTTCTTCAATTTCTTTCATCACTGTTTTAGACTTTTCAGTGTGTAGATCTTTCATCTCATTGATTAAATTTATTCCTCAAATAACATAATACAGTTCTAAGTAACACATGGATCAAAAAGTCACAAAGGAGATAAGAAATTGTTTAAACCTGAGTGAAAATACAATGTTGGCCAGGTGCAGTGGCTCACATTGGTAATACCAGCACTTTGGGAGGCTGAGGTGGGTGGACCACTTGAGCTCAGGAGTTTGAGACCAGCCTGGACAACATGGCAAAACCCTGTGTGTACAAGAAATACAAAAATTACCTGGGCCTGGTGAAATGCATCTGAAGACCCAACTACTCAGGAGGCTGACTTGAGCCTGGGAGGTAGAGGTTGTAACGAGTCAAGATTGTATCACTGCACTCCAGCCTGGGCAACAGAGCCAACCCACTCTTTCTAAAAATAAATAAATAAATAAGTAAAATGAAAAAATAAGTAGAAGAAGAAGAAAAAAGTTAACTCCTTTGGAATTTAGCTAAAGCAGTGTTTCAGGAAATTACATAGCATTAAACACTTACATTAGGCAAAAGGAAAGTCCTCTTATAAATTACCTAAGTGTCCATCTTTACAAAACCAGGAAATGACAGAAAAGAGGATATAATAAAGAAAAATGTGGAAATTAATAAACATAAGACAGAAAGACAATAGGAAAAATTAATGAAACAAAAATTTGGTACTTTGAGAAGATTAATAAAATTGAGCAACTGGCTGATTAGGAAAAAGAAAGAAGACATAAGTTATCAATCTCAGAAATGATAGATTTCTACAGATTTGATGGACATTAACTAGATAATAAGAAAATTTTGTGAATAACTTTATGCCAATAAATTTGAATTTTGATGAAGTGGAGAAAGATACAAAGCACTAAGGCTCATTCAAGAAGAAACAGATAACTTAAATAGCTCTATATTTATTAAACAAATTGAATGTGTAGCATAAAAGTTTCCCATGAAGTTTACTTCATATAATGATGACTTAGCTGGTGAATTTTATCAAACATTTAAGGAATTTAAGGAATACATAATAGCAATTCACAAACTCTTTTGGAAAACTGAAAGGAAGGGAACACTTCCCAACTCATTTTATGAGCTCAGATTACCCTATCACAACCAGATAAAATGATTATGAATAAATAAATCTGTAGAATGATATCCATCATTAAATAGATGCAAAAAATTTAACAAATCAATACCACTAATATGTAAAAAGTAAGATACATCATTATGCAATGCATAATCTCAAGAGCAAAAGGTTACTTTATTTTTATTTATTTATTTTTTTGCGGTGGAGTCTTGCTCTTGTTACCCAGGCTGGAGTGCAGTGGAGCGATCTCGGCTCACTGCAACCTCCAACTCCCAGGTTCAAACGATTCTTCTGCCTCAACCTCCTGAGTAGCTGAGATTACAGGTGCCCACCACCACACCCAGATAATTTTCATATTTTTAGCAGAGAAGGGGTTTTGCCATGTTGGCCAGGCTGGTCTCGAACTCCTGACCTTTATGATTCACCCACCTCAGCCTCCCAAAGTGCTAGGACTGCAGGCGTGAGCTATGGTGCCCAGCCAAGGTTAGTTTAACATTTGAAAATTATTCAATGTAATTTACCATGTTAATTGACGAAAAGGATAAACTATGCGGTTATCTCAATAGATACATGCAAGCATTTGGTGAAATCCAATATCTATTCATGACAAAAACTTGCAGCAAACTAGGAATAGAAGGAAGGGAACTTCTGCAACCTGATAAAGCACTTCTACAAAAACACCTCTAATGTTATGCTTACTGATGAAAGGCTGAATGCCCTTCTCTCTTAGATCAGGAACAATGCAAGGACGTCTTGCTTTTTCCACCTCTGTTCAGTGTCACATGCTGGAGTGTGTCGTCATGCTGTGGAACGGTGATAATGAAATCCAGAATAAAAGAAGAAGGGAGTTAATCTGTACAGGATAAATCAAATATTCCTAAATTGGGAGAAATCTAAAAATAAACAAATGAATAAAAATAAAGGCACACAGATTGGAAATGAGGTAAACTGTGTTTGTAGACAACATAATCATCTATAAAGAAAATTCTAAGGAATCTACAAAATACTGCTAAAAGTATGTGAGTTTGTAGATTTCAAAACATATACTCAACATACAAAAATCAATTGTATTTCTGTATGCTTACAACCTTCTGTTTGAAATGTTAAAAGTACATTTATGATAGTATTAATATGGGTAATACTTAGTGATAAATTTGCCAGAAGAGATGCAAGACCGGGATCATTAAAGTCTCTCTTCCCCCTGCCATCATGTCAAAGTCAGAATCTCCTAAGGAGCCCAAGCAGCTGCAGAAACTCTTCACCGGATGGTTGAGCTTTGAAACAACTGATGAGAGCCTGAGGAGCCATCTTGAGCAATGGGGAACGCTCGCGGACTGTGTGGTCATGAGAGATCCAAACGCCAAGTGCTCCAGAGGCCTCGGGTTTGTCACCTATGCCACTGTGAAGGACGTAGAGACAGCCATGAATGCAAGGCCACACAAGGCAGATGGAAGAGCTGTGGAAACAAAGAGAGCTGTCTTAAGAGGAGATTCTCAAAGACCAGGTGCCCACTTAACTGTGAAAAAGATATTTGTTGGTGGTTTTAAAGAAGACACTGAAGAACATCACCTAAGAGATTATTTTGAACAGTATGGAAAAATGGAAGTGATTGCAATCATGACTGACCAAGGCATTGGCAAGAAAAGGGGCTTTGCCTTTGTAACCTTTGATGCTCATGACTGTGGATAAAACTGTCATTCAGAAATACACTGTGAATGGCCACAGCTGTGAAGTTAGGAAAGCCCTGGCAAAGCAGGAGATGGCTAGTGCTTCATCCAGCCAGAGAAGTCAAAGTGGCTCTGGAAATTTTGATGATGGTTGTAGATGTGGTTTTGGTGGAAATGACAACTTTGGTCATGGGAGAAACTTTAGTGGTCATGGTGGCTTTTGTGGCAGCCAGGATGATGGTGGATATAGTGGCAGTGGGGATGGCTCTAATAGATTTGGTAATGATGGAAGCAATTTTGGAGGTGGTGGAAGCTATGGTAATTCTGGCAATTACAACAATAAGTCTTCAGATTTTGGACCCATGAAGGGAGAAAACTTTGGAGGCAGAAGCTCTGGCCCTTATGGTGGTGGAGGCCAATATTTTGCCAAACCAAGAAACTTAGGTGGCTAATACAGTTCCAGTAGCAACAGTAGCTATGCCAGTGGCAGATTTTAATTACTGACAGGAAAGAAGGCTTAGCAGGAGAGGAGAGCCAGAGAAGGGACAGGGAAGCTACACTTTACAACAGATTTGTGAACTCAGCCAAACACAGTGGTGGCAGGGCCTAGCTGCAACCAAGAAGACATGGTTTAGACAATATTCATGTGTATGGGTGAAAAACTTGAGGACTGTATTTGTGACTAATTGTATAACAGGTTATTTTAGTTCCTGTTCTGTGAAAGGCGTAAAGCATTCCAACAAAGGTTTTTAATGTAGATTTTTTTTGCAACAATGCTGTTGATTTATTGATTGCTAAATGGACTAGTCTGATCATGATCCATCTTTAAAAAATGCAAGGCCTGTAGCTTGAAATTACAATACATTGGAGAGATAAATTAAAGAAAATCTAAATAGGGATATACCATGTTCATGAATCAAAATTATTAATCTCAGTTCTCTCCAAATTAACCTATAGATTCGACATAATCACAACCAAAATCCAAGCAGGCTTTTAAAAAAGAAATGGATAAGCTGATTCTAAACTTTAAATAAAATACAAAGGACTCAGAATAGTCAAAACAACTTTGAAAAAGAAAAACAAAGTTGGAGGACCTACACTACTTGATTTCAAGATGTTACAGTAATTGGAGCAATGGTAGTATTGGCTTAAAGACAGACATATAGGGCCAGGAGAGGTGGCTCATTCCTGTAATCTCAGCAGTTTGGGAGGATGAAGTGGATGGATCACCTGAGGTTGGGAGTTTGAGACCAGCCTGGCCAACATAGTAAAATCCCGTCATTACTAAAAACATGAAAACCTTAGCCAGGCGTGGTGGCGCGCACCTGAAGTACCAGCTACATGGGAGGCTGAGGCACCAGGATGGCTTGAACCTAGGAGGCAGAGGTTGCAGTGAGCCGAGACTGCACCACTACACACCAGCCTGGGTAACACAGTGAGACTCCATCTCAAAATGAAACAAAACTAAATGATAGACATATAGATAAACAGAACAAAGTACAGAGTCCAAAAACAGACCCAAGCAATTGAGTCTATTACTCAATTGAGTAATAGTCAAAAGACTTGAGTTCCTGCGCCTAAGCAGTCCTTGCACCTCAGTCATCTGAGTAGCTGGGACTACAGGACACTATTAGGCATTTAAGACAAATAAAAGTATATGTCTACATACAGATTTGATCACAAATGTTCATGCCAGTTTTATTTGTATGATAGCCAGAAACTAGAAACAACCAAAAATTCATCATCAATAGGAGAATGGATAAGCAAATTTTGTTATATTCATACCATGGCATTCTGCTCAGCAATAATAAAAGAGAATAAATTACTGATATTCGCAACAATACACAGGAATTGCAAAATAATTATGCTGCATGAACAAAGGCAGACAAAAATAATACATACTGTATGATTCCATTTATATAGAATTCTAGAAAATGAAAACTACTCTAGGGACAGAAGGCAAATTATTGTTTGCCTGGGGATGTGCGGGAGTGGGCGGTGTAGGACCACCAGGAAGCTTTGGGGGTGATGAATATGTACATTACCTTGAAGTGGTGATGAACAAGATGCTGGAGGTATACACACACACACAAACACATATGTATATGTGTATATATGTTGCTTATATGCATAATATGTATATATTATGTATGTATATAAAAACTCATTGAATTGCATACTTTAAATATGTGCAGTTGTTTATGCATTATATCTCAATAAAGCTATTACAAAAAAATGGCTGGGCATAGTGGCTCAAGGTGGTAATCCTACACATTTGGGAGGCTGAGGTGGGTGGATCCCCAGGTCAGGAGATCGAGACCATTCTGACCATCATGGTGAAATCCTGTCTCTACTAAAAATACAAAAATTAGCCGGGCATGGTGGCGTTTGCCTGTAGTCCCAGCTACTCAGGAGGCTGAGGCAGGAGAATTGCTTGAACCTGGGTGGCAGAGGTTGCAGTGAGCCGAGATCGTACCATTGCACTCCAGCCTAGGTGACAGAGTGAGACTCCTCAAACAAAACAAAACAAAAACAAAAACAAAACAAAAGGAAATAAATTGGCTAAATAGAGTAGATCCATGCAAGGAACTACTGTGCTGCAATAAAAATCATGGAAAGGTTCAGGACTGTGGTTCATGCCTGTAATCCCAGCACTTTAGGAGGCTGAAGAGGAAGAATCACTTGAGGCCAGGAGTTCAAGTCCAGCCTGGACAGATGCCTAGATCCCATCTCTACGATTAAAAAAATAAAAGAGCCAGGCACAGTGGAGTGTCCCTGTGGTCCCAGCTACTCAGGAGGCTGAGGCTGGAGGATCGCTTGAATCTAGGAGTTCTGGGCTGTAGTGTGCTATGCTGATTGGGTGTCTGCACTAAGTTTAGCATCAATATGGTGACTTCTGGGAGCGGGGGACCACCAGGTTGCCTAAGCAGGGGTGAAATGGAGCCCAGGTGGGAAATGGAGCAGGTCAAAGCTCCTGCACTGCTCAGTAGTCGGATCATGCCTGTGAATAGCCACTGCACTCCAGCCTGGGCAACATAGCGAGACCCCGTCTCTTAAAAAAAAAAAAAAAAAGGCCAGGCGTGGTGGCTCACGGCTGTAATCCCAGCACTTTGGGAGGCTGAGGTGGGCAGATCACCTGAGGTCAGGAGTTCAAGACCAGCCTGACCAATATGGTGAAACCCTGTCTCTAAACAAATAAATAAATAAAAATAAAATAAAATAAATGAAAACCATGAAAAGATACTTTTTAATATTTGATCATTGCTGGGTGTGGTGGCTCACGCCTATAATCCCAGCACTTTGGGAGGCCGAGGCAGGCGGATCACCTGAATTTGGGAGTTCAAGACCAGCCTGATCAACATGGTGAAACCCTGTCTCTACTAAAAATATAAAAATTAGCTGGGTGTGGTGGTGATGCCTGTAATCCCAGCTACTCAGAAGGCTGAGGCAGGAGAATTGCTTAAACCCGGGAGGCGGAGCTTTCAGTGAGCTGAGGTCGTGCCACTGCACTCCAGCCTGGGTGACAGTGAGACTCTGACTCTAAAAAAAAAATATATATATATATATATTATATAATATAAAATATATATATATATATTTGATCATTGAGGAAAAAAAAGCAGATTACAAAACAGTATATCCAATATAGTTACTTAAAACAAAAAGATAATCTGAGTATCTTCAGGATTCACCACTTGATTAGAGCGGTGCATTAAAATTAAACTGTGGTTTATGCAGATCAGATTAATCTTACCAGTGTGGGAATTCTCCTTCTCAGCACAGTCCACCTGCCCCATATGTTTCTGGGTGTTCCCACATGTGCCTACTTGCACTTGGAAGGTGATCTCAGATGTCCTTTGCTGTTGCTGGCACCTGGGGCTTCTGTCGAGATGAGGCTCCAACAGTGATGAGCAAGAGACTGCTGGAGTGGCCATCCAGGCTGCTGCCAAAGTCCCATGCACGCACGTGGTGTTCATCATTCTGCCCTGCCACTGAACCCTTACTGTGCTCTCAGAGCATGGCGGAAGCAAGTGACAAGGGCAAGGCCCAGTTTTTGTTTTACTCAGAGGCCCTCTATAGGAGGCTGCTTGGGCCCCAAGGTGGCCAAGCTCAACACAGCTGCTCTCTTTGTACATAAATTGTCCTTTTCCTCCCAGAGTGGCTGGGGCAGACCGAGTTCAGGTGCCCGCCTCTGTGGGTGCCCGGAATGTCTAGCCTCCTCCGGCTTCCTGGTCCTGGAGTGTGGGATGCACTCCTCCTGCCAAGTGCCTCCTCCTCTGGGGATTCCCTTCCTTCTTAGAAGCGACCACCGCTGTGTTTTGTCAGGCTCCTTCTAAGTTTGCCAGCTAAGCCTAAATCCCAAACATGAACACTGATGGACGTTTTTCTGCGCGGCTCCTCTGAGCCGGTGATCACATATTGTAGATTTCATATAATCTCTTACGT